TTAGGTTTGGACATTGTCTTAGTCTTCTCACGGTGCTATAACAAAAATACCGTAGACTGGGTAACGTAACATAAATTTATTTTTTCACAGTTCTGGAGGCTGGAAAGTCCAAGAGCAAGGTTCTAACAGGGTTCAGTTTCTGGTGAGAGCTCGCTCCTTGGCTTGTAGACAGTTGCTTTCTAGCTATATTCTCACATCGCAGAGAGAGAGAGAGAGATCTCTGGTGTCTTTTCCTCTTTTATAGGGGCACCAGTTCTGTTGGATCAGGGCTCCACCTGGTGACCTCATTTAACCTTAATTACCTCTTTAAAGGCCCCATCTCCATTACAGTTACGTGGTGGGTTAGGGCTTCAGCATATGCATTTTGCTCACAATTCTGTCCATAGCAGACATTACAAGAATAAATAAAGTTATCTCTTCTCTGCTTGACATGTGTGGAGGTTATCTCCAGTTAGAAAGCTAATGCCTCCAACTCGTCAAGTCAGGAAGTACCAGGGAGTGGTTGGCTATGACAAAGCCCCAGTGCTACCCCATTTGGTCAACCACTTTGCTGTCAATATTGTAGAAATAGCTATGATTTTGAGTTCTTCACCATCGTGTGTTTTAGATATGCTGTCCCCTAACGTTCCCTCTGTCTTACTCACTAAGTGATAAGTCTAGCTGTACCTGTCCTTTGACAGTCACTGAGAGGGTACCTGTAAGCTTGTATTTTTTTCCTAAACAAGGATAAGAACTATCATCAATTTTATCATGTTTAAACTCTTTATCTAAAAGCCATAATCACATAGAATTCTAAGATGTAACATCAATAGGACTCAACCCAGCAGCTCTGTTACTTCAATCAGCCCACCTTGGGATTATCTTCTTCACCTGTTATGGGGAACTAATCACATAAGCCACATACTTTGTCTTTCTCTTTTTCTGCCCACATTTAACTGGGGCATGTAGCACTCTAATGTCCTAAAAACCCATGCCATTTTGAACTGACTTTACCAGTCAAAGAAAGAGAGTCAGAGAAGCGGCTTATTTGTTTGATCCTGCTTGCATAAGGCCATATAAAAAAAATCATTTCACATTCAACAAGTCAGAATTTTCAAATTGTAATTTCACCAGAGATGCTGACTCAGGCTCCCTTCAATTCTCCTTTGAGCAACTTCCTTCAAGGTTACTAATAACAACTATGGAATATTAGGCTGGGTGGTCTTAACCACTCATTCTCTTTTCATCACACTGGACCTTCAGGATTTGGAGGACCAGTTTCTGTGACTGCCACAACAATCTTCAAAGGTAACGGGTCACAATACTCTAGGCAGACTTTTCTAATCCCAAGTCACTTGGCTTACTTCTAGAAGGCCGTGGTGGATGCCCTAAGTCTGATACTCAGCAATTTGTACCACCTCTCAAGCAATTAAGGGTGACTAGTAAAACAGCATGGAGACTAGTCTTTCTGGAACTATGTTTATTGGAGGAAAACCCAGATATTGAAGCAATAGCAGGTGAATGATCTGCCCATAACCATCTTATTCTTGGGCAGCACACAGCGATCTAGCAGAGTGCAAATCTAGGTCTGAGAGAGAGACCCTGGGCCTTGGATGTTGGGGTTTTTATACTTCTCAATGATTAAAGAACCAAATTCCTCCTAGTGAGATTAGGGTATAGGATCTAACAGCAGTATGGTGTAGCAGAACCTTGTTTTCAGCTCTGTCCACTATCTCAGCATTCATAAATTGGGATAACACTCAGCCTTCCCCTGGTGTGATCCAACCCTTGTGATTACAGCACCACTACTTGGTGGAAACTTGGCTGAGGTCCTGATCTACTATGTCAGCTCTCTGCAAGGATGGATTGCATTAAACCCTAGACTGTGGGCTATAGTTGGTTTCCAGACGCAGCAGGCAAATTTCCTCTCTAGGGAGCCATCCTGCAAGGCATCAATTAAGTTAACACTTACTTCTCAACTGTCTTCCAGGAGAAATTGATAAGGAATCATCATAACTAAGGCAAATTCTGGTTAAGTTATTGAAATTTAAGAACAAATAATTAATTATTCAGGCACCAGATGGAAAAAATCAAATAACTTAAAAAGTATGGGTTTATGAAGGGGTAGTGAGTACCCACTGGCCTCAGATGTTCCCACTATATTATTCAATGCCAGAATACAATGGAGAAATGCCTACGGTCTAAGACTAGGTTTACCTGGAAGTAGCTCATGTGAGAGTAATTTATTTGGGAGTGGAATTCAGGGAGCAAGAGTAAAAGATGAAGGAATGAAACAGGGAAGAAAGGAGGGCCAATACAAAAATATATTACAAGTTGGCCACTGCTAGGGGCAACTGGATGCTCAACCCCTTGAGACGGTCTGAGAAGTCTTATAAATGTGTTTCTAGACCATCCAGGGAAGAAAAGTGGAAACACAATGTTCCCCTGACTCCCAGGGTTGCCATTAACTCCTCTGCATGTCTAGGTTGTCCATGCTTTAGTGGAAGTCTGTATCAGAGAAGCTCCAGAGTGGGAAGCAAGGATTGCACAACACAGGTCTAAGGCAGAGTAGTATGACTCCATGAAGGTGGTTGAAACTTGTGCAGAACTGGTTGCTGCAGCTGTGGCTGAAATCAAAGGGTAAGGCAGAGACAATTTGAAATGGTGCTAAGAGGTTTCATCTACACCAACAGAGTTCTGAAGAAAAAGGAGTATTAACTTGTCATGTTGTACTCTGCCAAGGAATTGTTCAAACATTTTCCCTGTTTCAAAGGGAACAGGCAGATGTTCTTAAATATGAATGGACTCAAGGATTATAGCAGCCACAGCATTGCTTGAAAGAACTATACAACTGCAAAGTCATCCAACAACAATAACAAAAAGTAAATTAGGGGCCAGCCCGGTGGCACAGCAGTTAAGTTTGCACATTCCACTTTGGCGGCCTGGGGTTCGCTGGTTCGGATCCCTGGTACGGACCTACACATCGTTGGTCAGGCCATTCTGTGGTAGGCGTCCCACATATAAAAAAGTAGAGCAAGATGGGCACGAACGTTAGCTCAGGGCCAGTCTTCCTCAGCAAAAAAAGAGGAAGATCGGTGGCAGATGTTAGCTCAGGGCTAATCTTCCTAAAAAAAAGTAAATGGGAAAGTCGTGGGGAAAGAACTAGCTCAATATGCAATGGCAGAAAAAAAAAGGAGTAATACTTAACAAATTTTTGAGAAAAAGAGTAAACCAAGATTTTTATGTCCAGCAAGCTATTGATCAAATATAAAGGCAACAGTCAGGCATTTTCATGCATGCAAGAAAATGGAAGACAACTACTGCCACCCCTTCTTGGTGAACAAAAACAAAACCAATGAGAAGCTGTAGTGTAAGTACTTGTGATGAACAGCACGTTCATTTAAATATGAGATGGTCGTTCTGTTATAAAACAAGGTGATATTAAAAATTTTGACTAAGTGAAAATAACAACCTAAAAATCAGGAGGTGAGAGGTATTGAAAGAGTGTTAAATTTTTATCTTTCATACTTCTAAAATTGAAGTAGGAACTTAAAAACATAATTCAGCTTCTAGTTTCCATAATCCTTTGCTCTTCACCCATTTCTTTGCTTCCCTTTGAGGCATACTCAGACAGTTTTGTGTACTTTGTCTTCAATTTTTTTCCTTCCATTCTCTGTTAAGTCTACTCCACTCAGGCTTTTGCCACCAAGCCATGTACTAAACCTACCCTTCTTGATGACCTACGTGTCGTTAATCTAATGGTCAGTTCCCAGACCTCGTCCTACTTGACCTGTCAGCAGTAACGGACACAGCTGATCACTTTCTTCTCCCGGACACCTTTGCTTCCTTGGTCTTCCAGACATTTGACTCCTGGTTTTCTCCCTTACACATCCCTCCTTCTTTGGTCTTCATTACTTGTTCCTACTCTTCTCTCCAGCCTCTGGATGTTGGATGCCCAGTGCTCAGTCCGTGGGCTCCTTTCCTACCTGTACTCACTCTCTTAATGATTGCTTCCAATCTATTGACTTTAAATACCAACTACATACCAAACTCCAAAAATTTTATGTCCAACTTCCTACTCAACATCTCCACTTAGAAATCCAATAGGAATCTTAAATTCAACATTTCCAAAATTGAATTCATGGCCTTCCTCCAGAACCCTCTTTACCTTTGGCCTTTCTCATTTCAGTTGACAATTCTGTATTTGCAGTTTCTCAGGCCAAATGTTGGGATTATCCTTGACTTCTTTTTTTCCCCTCATATTCTACATATGATCCATAAAGAAATCTTTCTAGCTAAAAAAAAAAAAAAAAAATCTTAAAAGTACAGTCTAATTCAATCACTTCTGACCACCTCTACTGCTGCTTCCCTGGTCTGAGCTGTCAGCTCTCTCATAGATTACTGCAAGAGCCTCCAAACTGTGCATTCTCAGCAAAGCAGCTAACTCGTTATTTAAAGATAGAAGTCAAATCAGATCATTTGTCCACTTAAAGCATTCAAAGTCTCCTCATTCTTTCAGAGTAAAAGTGAAGTCCCAATAATGCCCTATAAGGCCTTAAACCAGGTGTCAGCAAGCTACTGTCCGAGGGCCAAGTCCAACCTACCACTTGTTTTTGTACAGTAGCCTGTGAGCTAAGAATTGTTTTTACAATTCTTATGGGTGGGGAAAAAAAGAAAAACAATACTTCATGACACATAAAAATTCTATGAAATTCCAATTTCAGTGTCCATAAATGACACTTTGTTGGAACCCAGTCATGCTTCTTCATTTACGTGTCGTCTCTGAACGTGTTCACACTACTACAGTGGCAGGGTTAGGCAGTTGCAACAGAGACCTTATGGCCCACGAAGTCTAAAATACTTGCTAATTGGTCCTTTACAGAAAATATTTGTAGACCCCTGTCCTAAACAATCTGTTCTCTCCTGACCACATCTCCCATAACTTCCCCTATGATTCCTCTAACCCTAACCCTTGCTCCCTTTTCTCCAAGCAGATTGGCCTCCCTGCTATGGCAAACATGTCACCTGTTACAGCAGGAGCAGGAGGCATCAAAGACTAGGCTAGACTGGCAGTGCTGAGTGAAAGTCTGTCCACTCACACAGCTGTAGAAGGCATTTTTGTCCCAGGGTCAGGGTTGTTGGGTCATTTTTGTCAGCCTGGTTGGCACAGAACCCACCGCCACTGAGGCTGCCTGCAGAGCTGTCTGTACTGGGAGCCTCCACAATGGGAGCAATGGGCTGGGCTGGGGCTTTGCAACCTGAAAGAAAGAAACCAGATCCTGAGCCCTCCTGCTTTTAGTCAGTGATACCTTAGCTCCTGCCTCTACGTCTCTGCATAATTAGTCTCCTGATCTGGTATACCCTCCTTCCCCTTTCCTCTTTGTTCATCAACTCCATTAATTGCATCAATCCTCTCTCTCCAACTAGATTGTGAATGTCTATAGAGTAAAGATTGTGACTTAAATATTTGAGATCCCCTGTGGTACCTCCACAGTGTCGCATACATAATAGATGCTCAAAAAATTGCTTGTGAAATGAATGGATGGATAAACGAATGGTGAAGAACACTGTTCTTCCCACCATTATTGAATCATTACCAAACATGAATAGAGCAATAGTCATAGAATCACTTATATAATGGTCCTCTGACTTCCAAGAAGCCTTGGAGATTTCTTTCAAGTTTGAGGCTTAGTGCCCTTTCTCACCTGCTAACTCACCCACACTCAGCAGGCCCAGGGCATCCTTCAGGGTGGTGATCAGGGGGAATTTGCCCTGGTTGCAGAAAGTACTCAGGAAGTCATCCAAACAGACGGTCCAGACCATGGCACCTCCAAAGTTTTTCTTCTTCAGTCAATCAGCCTGTGGTAATTAGAGAGAAATCAATTAAGTTCAACATCAAGGCCAATTTGTGGTTCCAGGGCTACAAATGAGAAGAAACAACAGGCAACAACAGTCTCCAGCACAGAGTCTACCCTGATTTTGAAGCTCCTGGTGTCGTGATATCCAAGATACTCATTCCCTTTGTAAGCACAGGGAGCATCCTCGGGGGCCTCCCACACTTCAGGAGCTCCATTCTTCAGGAAGGTACAGTTCTAAGAGGATAAAAGGAAAAGGTCAAGAGGTAGGCAAAGTGCCCAGGTGGCAGGGGTGAAAGGCATGGGGGAAGGGAAGAAGGGAGGGAGCACATGAAATCTACTTGCAAAGGAAGGTCTGGAGCTCTATCAGCAAATTTCTCAGTTCATTCAGGATTTTGATTCTAGGTCACATTTGAGCCATTTATTTTTAATTTGAGGAGAAGCTCCTAAATCAAAGACTACCCTGGCAGTCAGAGAAAGCCACGTTTGCCTCTCTCTATGAGGTATGAGGAGCATACCTCAGTAGGCCTAGAACCCAGACTGCCTGGTGCAGGGCCCAGCAGGACCAGTGCCAGAGGTGGGGCCGCAAATGCCGGTATTGGAGGAGTTGCTCAGGATGAAGGTGTGTCCATAGGCTGGGACTTCAATAATGAGCTATTCAGCTGGGGCCCCATCGTCCTTCCTGCAGTTCATGCCGTAATCCTGCAATGGCAGCTGGTTAGCTAGAGGCCCGACCCAGCTGATGGCCTAGTAACTAGTTATTATTTGAGCTTTTTTGTATGGTTGTACCTGCTGTATAAAGTATTTGCGATGTATTTTAGAGCATCATTGACGTACCTCTGTTGAAGTGGTGTGTCTCTATCTCAACTGATTCTTCTAATAACATACCAATATGTAGGATTTAGATACACCCTTCCCACCAAAAATACATGAGAGAAGGTGTAAGCTTTTTCTCATGATTTTCTTGGTATGATCCACCGGTGAATGCCTGAAATTCTGTGGCACACATTTGCAAGAGATTATAATAGTAGAAAATAGACAGGGAAAAATGGAACAGGAATAGGGGAAAGGTGGGAGAAGCACTTTGTAATTCATTGAAATATGAGTAATGAGTACTTCATTTTCTTTCATTAAAAAAAGCTTTGGCTATTACTCTTATTTCCTATCTGATGAAATTACCAGTACAGTATTAATTAGTTGGTGAATTTTTAGTAAATGAGAACTAATTAATTAATTACAACATCTTAATTTCACATTTAAGAAAATTACTAAATTTATGATGCCTTTTGTCCCTGAATCTCCATGTGATTTACACCATCATCTCTGGCCGGCATCTGCATCTGCACAGGGACTCACCACACTGAGGTAGGTGTTGCTGCCAGCGTCAGTTGGGTATGTGTAGAGGCGGCTGTTCTCTCCAGTGCAGCCCTCCCAGGAGTTGTGGAGGTCATAGGTCATGACATGGATATAGTCCAGGTACCTGAGGTGGGGTAAAGGATTTAAAAAAATTTCTGATGGTCATTTCCACACCTATGCAGGCAAAAGATACCACTTCCAAAGCCTCGTAAACAAGGTCTCTGAGCAGCAAGCAGACCAAGGATGAGCGTCTATTGCACAAGTGACATACAGAGGTGTTGTGGGACAACTCATCACTCACTGGGATAGCTGGGCAATCTCATACCCAGACTGGATGTTGGAGATGCCAGCAGCTACTGCAGCGGTGACCGTCAGCCTGGGCTTGTTGATTTGCTTGGCCTCCTGCTCAAAAGCTTCATGCATTTCCTATACATGAGTAGGAGAAAGTCTGTGAATATCAACTATAAGTTGACTTCCATGACAACTCTTTGAATGAATCTCTTTCATCCTTCTTTCTTCAGCATCCTCACTAGAATAGGGTCTCCAGGTCCTTTATTTCCCACTTAGGGAGCTAGGTTTTCTATACAGCTTCAATGATCTTTCAAAGGAGACTCGTTGTGTGGTTTCCAGTCAAAATGATACGGAATGCAGTTCACCTGCACCAGGATAGTGACGAGATGCTTCCCCTGAGGTGTGCTCCCACGACAGCCAGTCTACTCCCAATCAAAGTCCAGCCCATCAAACTCACACTGGCACAGGAATTTGATGACTGAGGCAATAAAAGTCTGGCAGTTCTCAGGAGTGGAAACCATGGAGGCGAAGCTAAAGGAGACCCAAAGAAGGCAGGGTGAGGGACTGCCTTGGTAGTCCCAGTGCCTTGTAGTAAAATCAATGGAGGAAGTCATCTCGAAAAACTTACTGAGCAGTCTCAAAGTTCCAGCCACCAATAGCCAGGAGAGTTTTCAGCTGACTCTGATAGAAAAGAAGCAAACAGTTGTGTCAGAACAAATGGAAAGCAAGATAAGTCATTTTTCAGCATTAGCTGTTAGAGTGATTGAGAAGCCAGGAGAAGGCTCATGCAGCCTCTCATGTTGATTTTCTTCATTCTAAATTGTGAGAGTGGTTGGAGAAGGTCACCTAAGGTTAGCATGTATCAATGTCTCTACAGTTCTAATTGCTCCCTTGGAGGGAAGCCCCTGACTAAGGACACAGTGCTTTATCAGTGCCAGGTTTGGGTTGCTTCCAAGTGGAAGATTGTTTTCGTCTGATTCCACAAGTACTTGGACTTTCCGAAATTTCTCTTGGCAACTGAGCTATATTTCAATTGACAACCACCTCCTGTGAGCCAGCCGTTTCCCCTGATGTTAGAGTTATTACTGTGCTGAAAATAGTAAGAGAGCCTGGAATTTACCTGTGTGTTGCTTATTGGCCAGTTTGGAATTTCAGCCTGGAGGCTGCTGTGGAAGGTTTTGTTCCAACTGTTGCTGTAGGTGAAAAAATTTTAAACCTCATCCTTTAATCACTTACTTGTTTTTCAGGCCTTTGAAAGCTTGATAGTGTGATCTCATTGTTCCCCACCCCAGGCCAGACTGATATGGGCTCGGTTGGTAAAGTTCCATGTCAGCTGGTAGGCAGAACCTATTACCCAGAGGGAGAGGCTGAGAAACAATTACAGAGAAAGCTCCCTGAGGAGTCACAGATTGCTTAAGAAACCACAGATTTCCAATAATTTTCCTGTTTAAGTCTCAAAAGGAGGGGTAATTTCTGCATGAGAAACCTGTGTGTTGCTGTAAAGCCATAATTAGCAGGCAATTCAGGGATGAAGACATCTCCTCGGGGCAGTGCTGTCGCTCCAAGAAAGACTTAAAGAGACTTAGAAACAGTGCTTTCAGCGGACATGAAATTTCAAAGCTAGTAAACTCTGATTTAGATGTATTCTAGCCCCCTTTACATGCTGATAATAGCAATTACTAATGCTTCCTCAGCACTGCTTGTGTACCCAGCACTGCTCTGAGTAATTTACTTAGATTCACTCAATAATCCTCGCCAAAACCCTATGATGTAGGTACTTGTATTATTCCCATTTTACTCATTTGGACACCAAAACACAAAAAAGATGATGGTATAAGTCAACTTAGCACTTGCAGCTGTATCCCTGAGTAATAATCCACCCACGGAGACATGAACTGTCCGCTAGGGCCAGAGTCTGGCTTCCGGTTTAGATTCTGCCGTGAACTCCCTGCATCTCCTAGGACAAGTCATGTGGTTCATTCGTGCCTTAGTCAACTAGTCTGTGAGATGGAGTGGTAATACCTTTCCTGTCCGCCTTTCCTTTCCACCTCTCAGACAAGAGTTGTTTTAAAGACCCAGTAAGATGACAGATTTGAAAATGCTTTCACAGAGCAGAAGGCACCATGTGGATGCCTTGCCATATCATTTCTTATTGTTAACATTTATTTTTAAGACCACTATCTAGTCAGTTTCAGCCTTGGGATTTTTAGGCCAATGATCCCAATCCTTTAAACTTGGTTAGGGAATTTTGAACTTCCTAAAAAAAGTAATTAATGTTTTTTGTTCAAAGTAGAAGGACAGAAGGCCATGCTGAGTTTCCAAATTATGAAGAGACAAAAAAAGAACGATCTAGTGGTCCATCCCAAGAGGAACACACACTTATCTCAGCTGTCAGCACAAGGAGCAAACCTTAGAGCTCAGAGAGAATAACGAGCTACGGGAACACGTCTGTGAGCAGAGCAGCCTTTGTAAATGGGCACTTACTTTGCAGTAGGAAACTTTTCTTGTTTTACTCTTTGAGTCCTTTTATTTTTTGCTGAGGAAGATTGGCCCTGAGCTAACACCCATGCCAATCTTCCTCTATTTTTTAGTATATGGGCCGCCAGGGCAACACGGCTGCTAACAGAGTAGTGTAGGTCCACGCCCAGGAACCAAACTCTGGCCGCCTAAATGAAGCGCTCCAAATTTAACCACGAGGCCACAGGGTCTGGCCCTCTTTGCGTCCTTTTAATACTCTCTGTAGACTCCCAACCTACCGAGGCTGAGGAAGCCTCAGGATTTCTCCTGGAAGCCTCAGGATTTCTCCTGGAGGTCCACTCCCCCCCAACTCCTACTCAAAAGACCGTCAAGTGCCACGAGCCTTGAGGCTTGCCAAGGGAAGCAGACTGCAGAGCAGTGGGAGACCTGGCACTGAGGAAGGAACTGCGTCCCTGTACTTTTGCCAAAAGCAATCAACTCAGGCTATTTGGTTTGAATGCAAAGGTAAAAGAAAATTTTAAAGCAGCAGAAAAACAAGAAGGGGAGAGTGGCTCACAGGCGCAGAGTTGCCGTGCTTCCTCACCAGCAAGGACGGTGAGCTTGGTCACCTTGCCTCAGCGGGAGAGACTCCCTCATCTAACCTGCCTTGTATACTCTCTTCCTCCTCTCCGTGACTTATCAGATTCTCCTTTATCATGATTGCCTCTAAGGTAAATGTTATTGATGGTGCTTACAAAGCTCAAACACGTTTAAGAACCCATTATTGACAGGGAAACCATACCATCTTGACTTCACTTTACAAGAAGAAAAGATTGGGCTCAAGCCTAGGAACCATACTAAGGAACTCCATTATGGAGTAGCTTACGTGGTCCAAAATGGTTTATGTACAGTGAGCTATACTCTCTGTTTGGATAGTGAAGCAACTAATTGGCTATTTCACACTCTCTTTGACAGGCAGAAGCATTGACTAACTTTGCATTCATTCATTGTTTGCCATCATTCATTCATTCCTTCTAAGAACAAAGGTCCCTCTTTAAGCAAAGGCATAGAGGGGCGTGGGCTACTCTGTCTTTTGCCCTCAAATACATTACATCCTTCCCTCCTGTTCCTTCTCGTGTTCCTAGTCCTCCTACTTTGACCCATACTTCTACTCCTGAAGAGGCCCTAGCTTGGTTCCTCTCTGTTCAGGCTCCTTTCAACCATGATAATTCCCTAGGTTCAGCTGCCTCGGCAGCCCCCAGCATAACGTACCTGGCCACCAGACCCTCAGCCTAATGGGTGACACTTTCCAGGTGGTTATTCCCCCCAGGCCAACACCTCTTCCTGTTACCCATATTTCTGGGAATGGTTCCAAAGTTCTCTTGGTCGCTGAGGCTCTCACTAGAATAGTTTTTTTGTCTCATGCCTTTCCTCTACTCTCCATGACCCATTGGTCACTGAGATCCATGGTGCTCCTCTCCGTGCTGCCACAGTGCCCCCCTCCTCAGGACCTTTCAGTCTACTCCCCACCACCACTGCTTTCAGAGGTGATCATCTATGATGGTTTACTGTAGCCTCATTTTCCTTTTAAATTTAGTCTATATATGGACCCAATTCCTTGGGGATGGGGCTTTAATGGCTCCCCATTGTCTCATAGAAAGAAATTATTTTACTTCACCTGTCGTCAAGACTCTCCACAATCTGGCCTCAGCTTACCTTTCCAGGCTTGCCTCTGGCTAGCCCCTCAGTATAAATCTTATATATTTAATTGCACCATTCTCCATGATCCAAACAAGTCTCATCTCCACGTTTTTGCTGAAGCCGTTCCCTCTGTCTAGAATATAGAATATATTCCTCCTCTACCCACCTCCCACTGCCATGTTTAAAGGCCCAGCTCTGATGCTTTCCATCATGACACCTTCCCCAATCATCACAGCTGGAAGTGATCACCTTCTTCATCTCTGCTCCTCTGGAACTTCGTTTGTACCATTCAGATAACTCGTTGCTTATTTTTTTGAGCATGGAACTAGTGGAAAGTCCACACAGATTAAAGTTCAAATCCTTTCTACCACTTAGGTGTAGGAAGCTGCGAAAGTTCCTTAATCTCAGTTTCCCAGTTTGTAAAAGTGAGATACAAAGCCTGCTTTGCCAGGCAGTTCTAAGCATTAAACAAAATATCTATAAAGAATCAAGTGCATAATAAGCACTCCACGAATGATAATTATCATTATAGAATATTACACATATGCCTTATCTTCCCTGTTGACTTAATGCTCCTTAAGAACAACAATCAAACCAATGTTGATTACCGTATCAGACCTAAAATCTACTTCCTATGCAAAATAGGCCCCCAAAATAAACATTCACTAAACATTAAACGAATTAACTTTAGTAGGAGTCACTATTACAAGTTTGTTTTTTTTTTTTTTTTTTGAGGAAGATTAGCCGTGAGCTAAAATCTGCTGCCAATCCTCCTCTTTTTGTTGAGGAAGACTGGCCCTGAGCTAACATCTGTGCCCATCTTCCTCTACTTTACATGTGGGACACCTGCCACAGAATGGCTTGACAAGCATTGCGTAGGTCCGCTCATCTGATAGGAGCTGGTAAACCCCAGGCTGCTGAAATGCAATGTGTGAACTTAATCACTGCGCCACGGGGCTGGCCCCTGTGAGTATTTTAAATACAAGAACAGGCTGGTATAAGGGCATCTTTTTGGGCAGGGAAATTCTATTTCTTTCAAGTCACATCTTGTAGAAGGCCGTCTAGATGCACTGCCTGCCTTAGTACAAGCACTAGGAGTTGCAGGACGGATTTTAGTTGAGTCTTTTTGCAGTCTGAGAAGGGCTGCTGTAAATCTTGTAGTGGAAAGGCAAATCAAAACTGCAATGAGATATCACCTCACATCCGTCGGAATGGCTATAATCAACGAGACAAGAAATAACAAGTGTTGGAGAGGATGTGGAGAAAATGGAACACTTATACACTACTGGTGGGAATGTAAACTGATACAGCCACTTTGGAAAACAGTATGGAGATTTCTCAAAAAACTGAAAACAGAAATACCATATGATCCAGCTATTCCACTACTTGGTATTTATCCAAAGAACAGGAAATCAACAATTCAAAAAGATTTAAGCATTCCTATTTTCATTGCAGCATTATTTACAATAGCCAACACATGGGAGCAACACAAGTGCCTATCAACAGATGAATGAATAAAGAAGATGTAGTATATATACACAATGGAATACTACTCAGCCATAAAAAAGACAAAATAGTGCCATTCATGACAACATGGATGGACCTTGAGGGTATTATTGTAAGTGAAATAAGTCAGACAGAGAAAGACAAATACCATATGATTTCACTCATATATGGAAGATAAACAAACACATAGATAAGTAGAACAGGTTAGTGGCTACCAGAGGAAAAGGAGAAGAAAGGAGGGAAAAAGAGGTAAAGGGACCCATGTGTATGGCAATGGATAAAAACTAGACTATTGGCGGTGAGCACGATGCAATCTATACAGAAACTGAAACATAATAAGGCACACCTGAAGTTTACACAATGTTAAAAGCCAATATGACCTAAAAAAAGGAGTGAGGCACTGAGGCAGAGTGCACACCATGTACACCTGGAGGAAAGGTA